CTGTGAATCTCCCTGGTATGAAAAGGCTTTCAGGTCTAATATTTCTCATTTATTTCTTATCATTTTTGAAGTATGGTTAACTTTGTGTCCACAATAACAACACTATTTGTATGTTACATAACATGGGCAAAAGTCCTCACAACTACCCTCCCATAATTATTTATACTATGTTACTTACTAGAAATAGATAATTAGCTATATATCATTACTCTTAGAATTCATCCATTTAGCAAGCACTTTAGAAAAGTCAAATGAGCTTAGCATATTATTGGTTCAAATATATCCAATGCTATTCCAATTGATTAGATGGAAAGTCTCTATCTAATGTAGATATAAAAAAAAGTTCTTCAGTCTGCAAAAATAAAACAGTTGACTTTTACCTGAGGTTAAAAAAAGAATATAAGAGTTACAATTTTATTATTAACTGGATATGTGGTCTTAGTTATTCACTAAACTTGTTAAACCTCAGTATCCTGAAGCTTATTTGATTGCCAAACGACCTTCCAGTTCTAATGTTTAGAGATTTGACATATCATGGTAAGTACATCCATTGTTTAAAAAGGCTAATGATTTTAGACTCACACACATATGCATAGACACACACACACATACACACACATCTTTACCTCTATGTTTTAGGAATACCTTACAAAGTATTTTGAAATCTTTTTATTTCTATAAGACTGATCCAGAACACTTGAAAGATAATTTTAAATAACATTTATTGAAGAATGAATCCAAGACACACACACACACACCTCACATCTCTATGTTAGGAATACCTCACAAAGTTTTTTGAAATCTTTTTATTTCTATAGAGAATGATCCAGAACTCTTGAAAGATGATTTTAAACAACCTTTATTGAAGAGTGAGCTCAAGACATTAGCAGTGAATCTCCCCGGTATGAAAAGGTTTCTCAGGTCTAATATTTCTTGTTTTATATCATGAAAAAATTCACTAGAGAGCACAAGTACATTTAAACTGTTATAATAAAGAATTAGCAGACTTGTTAGGAGCACTATAGAAAGCAAAAAAAATGAGCAGAAGCTGAAGCTTTGAAAAATATTTAATGATAAATACAAATCTACATATCCAAGATCACTAAAATCTAAGTAGAATAATACAAAGAAATCCCTTACTACTAGATTCATCATAGTAAAAATGTTGAAACACAAAGAAAAATATTAAAAGCAGCAATGCATACTGTAAAAGGGAACACCAGAGTATTAGTGTTCTCCAGAGAAACAGAATCAATAAGATATACACATAAGAGCTATAACTGTATAGAAAATTCACTGGTTAAGGAATTATTTGACTTCAAGATGTGCATCAGGTTTGCCTTTCTCTGGATACAGTCTTGGTGAAGTTAGCATAACTAAGCCTCAATATAATGTCTTATGTAATTTCTAGAATCCTTTCCATTCTAAGGTTTTGTTATTTTCTAATTTAGGCATTTCATTTCAGAGAAGATTCTTCCTCTATAAATAAAATTATTGAGTTAGCACTCCCAACACACACACATGCACATGCACATGCACATACTATATAAATGTATATAAATGGCTATCATACAGCATTTTGATGTATATGTATTTCTACAGGAATTGATAAAGACAGATTGACCCATGCAGTCGAAAGAGGCAAAAGAAAGAGTGAATTCAAGATACAAGTGAAGAGTTCTCTTGGTAATAACAAGAATTTTTATAAACTTAATTTTTCTTGTTAATTTGTAATGCCAGAATTTATTTATTGTGGCTTCAGTATTGTGGGACAAGTACCTATAAATTTCTGATTTCTGCCTGTTTAGATTGCACTGGTATATATCTAGGCTGCCATGACCATAGTACAAATTTTAACATTCATAGTTTTCACCAATTCTTCAAAGCAAGACTTTCACTCGATGGCATCAGGGTCAGGACACATTTCCAACTTCTCTTGCTTGCTGCATCAGTCTTTTCTAATTAAAAAATATATATATTAATTAGGAGCTGGGGTTGTGACTCAGCGGTACAGTGCTCCCCTAGCATGGGTGAGGCATTGGTTTCGATCATCAGCACCACATAAAAATAAATAAATAAAAATAAAGTTATTGTGTCCACCTAAAACTAAAAAGTTATTTTAAAAATGTCAGTTAGACATTTTTAAAATAACTAGACACACATATATTCATATATTAGTATGAATATACTAGACACATGTATATTCATATATTAGTATTTGTGTGGGCTCTCTCGTCCAGCAAAGAAGTCCACAGAACAGGGTAGAGGAGAGTGTGGCTGAGGAGTCGCTAATCAAGACTTCCAGAGACCAAGCAGGAAGCAGGTCTGATTTTATTGCACAGGTATCATTTGTATATACTCAAGCAGTAGCTAAGCAGATTACAGGCAGCGACCAATGCAATTTCTGCTAACTGTCCTTGCATCTACCAATTGAGGAGTGGGCGTTGAAGCAAGCGCAGCGACTACAACACGTGACCTCATGCCCATGGCTCTGCCTACTGGGTAAGTGGCCTGCCGCTCATGTGCCTAGCACGAGGGGAGTGGCCTGCCACTCAGACACCCTTAACTATGCCATATATGCAGTACTCCATGTGCTTGTCCCTACAAGTATTTACTTTAGAACATTGTTTTTTAATCTGTTTGCTTTTTTAGAAACTGATACACAACCGTTGACTGACATAAGAGGAAAACATCTAATAATAAAGGATGAAATGAACACAAAACCAAAAAGTCACCTTGGTAAGAACAATAAATTTAAAAATTTACTTATGATTTCTTTATTTTCTCTGATGACAACAGTACTACTGTTTCTTATTATTATATAAGAAAAGTCTTCATGAATGCCCTCCTACCAAAAAAAAAACCCTAGTAATACAAAGAAGACCAGTAGAGTAGAGGAAAGGGAAATCCCTCCCTTGTGTTTATGTAAGGGGAGGGAGAAGGGAAGGGAGAAGAGGAAAAGGAGAAATACAGAGGATTGGATTGGAGTAAATTATATTCCATGCTTGCATCGTTATGTCAAAACGAACCCTAACATTATGTATAATTCTAATGCACTAATAAAGTAAATAAATAAATAAATTTTAAGGAAAACTCAGAAACTAAAAAGAAAAAAAGCATCAGAAACTAAAGAAACTGGAAGACACACAGTGGGATGGTATATTCAAAGTATTACAGGACAAAAAACATCAACCATGATTTTACATCCAGGCCAAAAAAAAATGTGATTCAAACAAATAAAAATTTATTTATTTGGAAAATTCAAAATAAATAAAAATTTAGAGAATTTGTTACAATCAGCCACTTTTTAAGAAATAGTTAAGAAAGTTCTTCAGACTAAAAGCAAGTGTCCTCACACATTTTTTAAAATCCATAAATTCAAGAGCATTAGTAAAGTAATTCTGTTATACAAAAGACTGTACAAATATGTCCTTTGTTCTCTTTCTTCTTTTACTTGATTTTAAAAGTAATTATATAGTACAATATGCACATACTTGTATCATTGAGTCTATATTTTATAGACATAATGAATTTGACAATAACAACACAAACAAGATGTATGGGAGCAATGATGTGCTGAAGTAAGAAAATTAAAGGAGACATTAACTCAAATCCACAGGAAAGTATTTTTTAAAATACTAGAAACTATAAGAAGCTAGTGGGGCACAGAGGAGCACAGAAACAATAATGGAGAGAATTTCTGCAGGCTTGCAAAGTCTCAATATGTGAACAAAGGGAATCCAGGTTTTTCTTATAAACCACTCCATGTAAAATGTCCCTCTCTCAATGCTGATCAGTGAGGGAATGAGATTATTTAGGAGAAGGAAGCGTTGGAGAATGAGATTGGCTCATACAGAGATGTGTGCGATACTGTGATGTTTGCTCAGCACGTCTTTGTTTGTGTGTGTATTTATTTATTTATTTATTTTTATGTGGTGCTGAGGATCAAACTCAGGGTCTTGCATGTGCTAGGCGAGCGCTCTACCACTGAGCCACAATCCCAGCCCAAGAACCTTTTGATTGACCAGTCACTATAGGATATCCATTAGGCTGTCAAGAGAGAAGCATTTGATTTACACTGGGGAGTGGCCTGGACAAGAATCTCACAGTTGCTTCACTCCTTTGTTCAACTCCACCCATCCACAGACAAATTAGGATCCAAGGCTGTTGTGTTCTGACTCCAGACACTCTGAGCCATCATAGGAAATGCAGAAATAGCTTTGGCAGAGACCCACATTCCTGACCCACAGGGCAAGTGATTAGGAACCACCAGAGGCCTTGAACCCTTTCACCAGAGTTTTCAGATTGGCAGCTTGCATTAATTGTGTTTAACTAGGTGATGGGTGCCCAATATTGCCCTCTAGAAGGAAAGAGAAAGGGACAGAAATGTGCACCTCAGTAAGATGTGAGATGTAGAGGAGCTTATCTTGATAACAATCCCAGATGAGCCCCCAGCTGATACCTGTCTTGGAGATCAAGAATGGGTCCTCGTTCCCCTGGTATTGAAGATTAATCACCAAAGAAATGCTGAGGCAATCATAGAAAGCAAATTTTATTTAAGAAAGGGACAGAGACAGACTTCTCTGGAGAGAAGTGGGGCCCAGAGCTAGGTGCCTGTGGGTCTCACACACATCCCACACGGGCGAGGGAAGGGTTCCCATTAAAGGGATGGACTGGCTATGAAATAAAAGCTAAGAAAATAGTACTACAAAATAAACACAAGAGGCCAGAAATTAAGTTTTCAGAGCAGGAGCAGTGACTGGCCAAACCAACCAGAGGAGTGCAGAGCCTGTGCATGCTTTATCAGAATATATCAAAAAGATTTGATAAAAACTTCTTTGTTGCAAAAACAGGATAGAAATGGGGGTAGGTAGGCTGTTTGGTTCTTAAAAGGTAACTCCCATTTCTGTTGTTGTGAAGAACCTGTGTCAGAGCTGAATAAGAAGTCACACTTACAGGGCAGTCTCAAAGTGTCAGGGTTGCTTCTGGGAGAAGACTTTCTTACCCAATGGCTTCCATGCTGATTTGATTCAGGCACATTTCATGGATGGATCCCCGCACATCCCCCTTCTTTATTCTTTAAATGCAAATGATGAGCTTTTATTTCAAGTTCCTGGATCCTTGTTCTGTGGGTATGACAATCTATTATTATGATACCAAAAAAATTAGTAGCAAACATATCATTCCATAATATACTTGTAGAATGTTTCAGCAAATTTCTAGGATTAAAACCATTCAATTCATGAAGTATTTGGTCAGCTAAAGATGCAGGGTACATAAGATCAGTTTTTCTTTTCCAAATATCTTGGATGTGACAATGTAACTGTATAAGATCCAGGGTATTATTGTTGCTATGCCAACATAAAATACTTTTTTGTGTTTTATCTTAAAATATTTGGTAGGTTATGATCACTGAACTGTTTTTAGCTATACACTATATACCTGACACAATAACAGGTGTTTTTCTCTGTAACTCACATCTGTTGATACATACATGCAAATGGTACCTCCATTTTTCTTTAATTTTTAGGATCAATACCTTCTATTACTTTTGGATTCAGTGTTGTTCAATAAGTGGATTCTTGTTACTTTTGAATAACCACGTTAGATTCAGCAATAAAATATTCTCATTTAAGTCCTGAAAATTTAAAATATCATACATATTAAGAATCACAGTGCTAATTAGTTGATGTTTATTTTTAATAATTTAGGGCAATAATAAAAATGATGTTGATAAAACTTAAGAGATGTAAATTTTTTAAAGGAAACATTTGAAAGGATATTACAATTCAAATATAAAAATGAATATTTTTGTTTAAAATAAAAAGATATTCAGATAAAGGCCAAAATTACTATTAAGGAACATAGAGGAAAAATTATAAAATCCTTTATAGGAATTTGAGTAATAAACAAGTGGTCACTCTTTAAAATGAGAAATAAGAAATTACAAATACAGGAACAAAGGCTAATATAAGGAATTTGGTAGTAGTTCGTAAGTAGTCATCATGCCATCATGTGACTTTTTAAATTTTTAATTTTAGGTATGAGTTTATCTAAAGGCAAAAATATATTCACACAAGAAGATAGTTTTGTCAAGCATACTGCACCACGTAAATTCTCAACAAAATCATCCATGGACAATCAAGGTATAAGACAGTAGTATATAATCATATAAAATAAGAATCTAATCACTTAGAATAGTTTTCATAGAATTCTTACTATTTTACTCTTGGCATATTTAAAAATTTCAGAAAATACATAAAGACTGTCCTAGCTCAAGCTGCTATAAACTAAAGACCTTAAACTGAGTGGTTTATAAACAATAGCAATTTATTTCTCACAGTTCTGGAAGCTGGAAAACATTTGGCCAACATACTGACAGAAGTTGTTACTGGTGAGTATTCACCTTCTGGTGCCTCTTTCTGTGTCCTCACATGGTAAAAGGGGCAAAGTGGAAGGGGACTTCTTTAAGGAGAATACTGAGCCTTCGTGACATAGTCACTTGCCAAAGACTCTACAACCTATACTATCACAAGATGATTAGGACTCAACATACTTGAGCAAGAGAGATACAAATTAATATAAAATATACTTATAGAGTTTCCTTTTCTACCTTGTCTCATTCCTCCTTTCTAAGATTTTTATCATTTGTAGTCATAACTATATATAATGATGTTCTGTGCAAGTATTGTTCAAAAGTTTTTATTGTGGCTTCTGTTTTTTCTTTCCCTTTTACTGTTGAATTCTCCACATCCTATTCTCTCCCATCACCTACATTACTTTGCGTCAAAGATATTTTGTAAAAAAAAAAAAAGAAAGAAAGAAAGAAGAAGAAAAGAAAAAAGTTTACACCTATATACACACTAAAAACTTTTGGGTAGAAATCCCCAAATTAAATGCTTTTTCTTCATCTGTGTTATCTAACATTTGTTTTTATGACATTTTAGCAATACTTTATTTATTTATTTATTTATTTATTTATTATTAATTGCTCATGACAGTACAATGATCTTGACATATCATACATTTTAATCAAATGGGGTATAATTTCTTATTTTTCCAAGTGTACAGGTTGCAGAATCACATTGGTTATACAGCCGTGTTTATACATACAGCAACACTAGTGTCTATTTTATTCTGCTGCCCTTCCTGTCCCCACTTCCCCTTCCCTCCCCTCCCATCATCACCTCTCTCTACCCAATCTAATGTGATACACTTTTTTTTTCTTTTTCTCATCACAACATCATACATGTATTCTGAATAACAATGAGGGTCTCTTTCCATCTTCTGTGCAATTCCCCTTCTCCCTCCCATCCCCTCCTACCTCTCTTCCCTATTTAGTGGTAATCTTCTTCTCATGCTCTTCCTCTCTACCCCATTTAGACTCACCCCCCCTTATATCAAAGAAGACATTCGGCATTTATTTTTTAGGGATTGGCTAACTTCACTTTAGCATAATCTGCTGTAATGCCATCCATTTCCCTGCAAATGCCATGATCTTGTTATTTTTAGTGCTGCATAATGTTCCATTGTGTATGAATGCCACATTTTTTTTATCCATTCATCTATTGAAGGGCATCTAGGTTCGGTCCACAGTCTATCTATTGTGAATTGTACATTTTAGCAATACTTTAAGAACATATTTTAATCTACAGTTAACTAGTGAGATTAATTCATTTGGGATAGTCTTCTGTACCATCTATATCCAAAATTACATTCAATCTGTAATGTCAGGATGTATTAAAATATCATCACACAAATTAATTTTGCATGGGCATTTTCAGAAAAATAATATAGAGAATAAACTTATATTGAATAACATGGAATCATCACTCTAACATGCTTTAAGATTTTTATTTGTAGTGATTTACAAATTTTCTCCAGCTTTCACCCTTATTTGACAAATGTGAATAGCTAGCTTAAGCCATAGGTTCTGAAACAAATTATGTTAACAATAATTTATTCACTCAGTGGACTTCAGTTACAATGTCTTGTGAATCTCCTTACCCCTTGGCTTCCAAATGGAAGTTTTCTACAATTACATGTTGCTTTTATAATAAATAGAATTTATGAAATATAACTAGCATTGGTTGATTGTTGAGGTTGGTTCAATGACTTATGCACAAAATTTGTTCTCTAAAACCATCTTTCCAAAAGTATTATTTTAAATGTAGACTACAGATAAAATACAGAGATGAATATTTGGTCCAAAGTGAAATGTGGTTGTGGTATAAGTCAAAATTAAGGAAGATGCTATCACAGGACACAGAACAAAGACAAGAAAGAGAAAAATGATGAAAGACTTTATAGAAATAGTTATAAGTAGCTACTCAATACAATATAAGAAAAGTTATAAATACAGAAATAAGAGTTTGGGAAATAGTGTGTGAAAAGTAAGAATATTCATGAAATTTTTATTTTAAACTTTTATCTTAGGTGTGAGTTTACAGAAAAACAAAGATACATTCAAACAACATCAAGAAGATATTCAAACTAAGAACATTATACCAACTAAATTTCCAAAAAAATCCAGCAATTTATCATCCTTTCAGAATAAAGGTAAAAGATTACATATAAAAATATTTTTAAAGTATCTAATTACCTAGAATAGTTTTGAACTGTTTTTTAATTTACTTTTTTATCTTACATTTTTATTCAACAATCTCTTAGGGAAATCTTTGTATGTTTGAAGATGAGATAATGTATGTTTTTGGCATCCTTTTCAAGTATGAGGTAACTGTATTTTTGTGAGTTTGTATCTTCTATTTCGTTTGTCTTTTTGCCTGCTTTGGTGCAAATGCAATGCTGTTTTTGTTACTGTAGCTCTGTAGTATAATTTAAGTCTGGGATTGTGATGCCTCCTGATTCACTTTTTTTGCCAAGGATTGTTTTACCTATTCTGGGTCTCTTAGTTTTCCAGATGAATTTCATGACTGCTTTTTTTTTTATTTCTATAAAGAACATCATTAGAATTATTTTTTACATTATTAGAATTTTGATGAATATTGCATTGAATCCGTATAGCACTTTTGGTAGTATGGGCATTTTGATAAAATAGAGGAAGACCTTAGAAATTGAAGAAATTTCTATTTAGGCCTATGGCCCATTTTTAATTGAGTTATTTTTTGATATTGAGTTTTGTGAGTTTCTTATATATTATGGATATTAGCCCCTTGTCAGAATCATAGTTTGTAAATATTTTCACCCATTCTCTTGACTGTCTCTTAACTCTGAAGACTTCTTTCTTTGCTATGCAGAGATTTTTAGTTTGATGTAATTCTGTTTGTCTATTTTTGCTTTGATTGCTTTTGGGGGATTTCTTCCCTTGCAAAGAAAAAAATATTTGCCATTTCCAATGTCCTGAAGCATTTCCCTTATGATTTTTTTCCAAGTATTTTCCTAGTTTCTAGTCTTACATTTAAGTTCTTGATCCATTCTACATTGAATTTTATAACTTGTGAGACATAGGAATCTAATTTCATTCTTTTGTATATGGATATCCAATTTTCCCAGCACCATTTATTGAAGAGACTGTCCAGTCTACAGTGTATATTCTTATCACTTTTGTCCAAAAAATCAGTTGACTATAGATGTGCAGAGTTATTTATGGGCACTCAATTCTGTTCCATTGGTCTGGGTGGTTTTGTGATAATGCCATAATGTTTTAGTCCATTGTGGAAGTCAAATTGTGTGAAATAGAGAAATGAATATTTGGTCCAAAGTGAAATGCGGTTGTGGTAAAAGTCAAAATTAAGGAAGATGCTATCACAGGATACAGAACAAAGACCAGAAAGAGAAAAATGATGAAATACTTTATAGAAATAGTAATAAGGGCTATTTCTACTCAATAAAATATAAGAAAAGTTATAAATACAGAAATGAAGAGTTTGAACCAACTTGGTTCTTTTTGATCAAGCTTACTTTGGCTACTTAGGGTCTTTGTACTTCTATATTAATTTTGGAATTGTCTTTTTCTAGTCCTGTTAAGAATATCATTGGTATTTTCATAGGAATTGCATTAAACCTATAGATTGCTTTGAGTAATATATACATTTAAAAATATTAATTCTTCCCATCCATAAACATGAGAGGTCTTTCCCTTTTTTTAATGTCCTCATCAGTTTCTTTCATCAGAGTTTTATAATTTTTTTATAGAGGTCTTTTACTTTCTTGTTTAGATTCATTTCTCTGTATTTTAAGTTTTTGTAGGTCTTGAGAATAATTTTTTCTGTTATAAGTTTTTCCTCAGCACTTCTTGTTATTTTATATTAAAATGCTACTGATTTTTTTATGTTGATTTTGTATTCTACAAATTTGCTGAGTTCTCTTATCAATTCTAATAGTCTTTTAGTGCAGTCTTTACATTTTCCCACATAGAGAATCATATCATCTGCAAACAGGTATAATTTGAATTCCATATTTTCTATTTGCATACTATTTATTTATTTTTCTTGCCTAATTGTACTGGCTAAGGTTTCTATACTATATTGAATAAGAGTGGTGAAAGTGAGCATCCTTGTTTCAGACTTTAAAGAAAACATTTTCATCTTTTCCTCATTTGGTATAATGTTAGCTGCAGCTTTATTGTGCACAATTTGTATTACATTAAAGTATGCTCCTCTGTACCTAATTTTTCCAGAAGTTTCATTATTTTGTCAATATCATAGAATATTGAATTTTATTGAAAGCTTTGTTTATCTATTTAGATAAGCATATGACTTTGTCCTTCATTTTGTGGTGTAATATATTATATTCAAAGATTTGCAGCTGTTGAATCACCCTCGCACTCCTGGAATGAATCTAATCTGATTATAGTAAATTATCTTTTTGATATGCTGTTGGATTTGATTTGTTAATATTCTATGCATCATTTTTGCATCTATGTTCATTAAAGGTATTACTTTATAGTTTTCTTTTGTTGTTATTATGTCCCTGTCTTGTTTTGATATCACAGTAATGCTGACTCTTAAGAGTGAGCTTCTAAGAATTCCTTCCCTTTCATGTTTTTAATAGTTTGAGGAGAATTAGTATTAGTTCTTCCTTAAAATTTTGATAGAATTTAGCAGTGAAGTCATCTGTTCCCAGATTTTTCTTTTTGGGGAAACATTTTAGTACAGTTTCAATCTTACTATTTGTTATTGGTCTGTTCAGTGTTCTATGTCTTCATGGTTCAATTTCAGTATCTTTTATGTGTCTAGAAATTTATCCATTTCTAAGTTTTCCAATTTTTGTTATGTAGAGTTACTTGTAATAATTTTTAATGATCTTTCGTATTTCTATGTTATTGGTTGCAATATCTCATTTATCATTTCTATTTTTATTTATTTGAGCCTTTTTTTCCCTTAGTCTAGCTAAAGGTTTGTTGATTTTATTGACCTTTTCAAAAAACCAGATATGTTGAGCCATGTCTATAATCCCAGCACCTGGGGAGGCCAACACAGAAGGACCACAAGTTCAAAGCCAGACTCAGCAACTTAGTGAGGCCCTAGGTAGCAAGACCTATATAGTCCACCACAGACAGCACAGCAGATGGATGGTTAACCAATGCAGGTTATGAGTCGAACTTAGAAAATTAATTAGAAATTATATAAATAAGACAAAGATTCATTTTTTAGTGAAAAGCCAGGGCATTGTGGGTACTAGCTCTGGTGGAGACTGGATCTGAAAACAAAATGGAGTCTGTACAGTAATTTATATAGATACACCAAAGGGATTCAGTGTGAAGAAATTCTTTAGGAAAACAGGATGAAGATGGCAAAAACAGCTTGTTTAGGGTTTAGTGGTAGCCATTTCCTGTAACTCTGGGGAGCTAGGATCTGGGGAGCTCCATAACAACCACAGAATTTCCCCTATCAACAGGAATCATCTTGCACATGGGCACTCCCCAGGTGCTCTTGTGCTGCAAGCTTCCCAAAAGCAGCTTTTCAACATCCAAGGTTTCAATAGTTCAAAGCAATGATTTATCAACTGCCTATGGCAACCCTGTCTCTAAATATAAAAAGGATCAGGAATGAAGCTCAGTGGTTAATCACCCCTGGTTTTGTGACCAAAGTTCAGTCCCTGTCCCCAGTGTCAATTAATGCCAATTTAATGAAGACACAGTTTTTGACCAAAAGAAAAAAAAAGGTTTATTGCTTTGCTAGCAAAGGAGAAACACAGGGGACTCCCCCCAATCACAAGGGACACAGCGGGGGTTTAAAGCCTTAGAGCAATGAGGGCTATATTCAGAAGGTGAAGGGACCACTGTTACAGTTTCAATCCCTGATATTGGTCTTTTGTGTTATCTTTTTGCCTTTATTTCATCTGTTTCTGCTCTGATCTTTTAGTATTTATTTCTTTCTACTAATTTTAAGTTAATTTGCTCTTGCTTTTCTAGGTCCTTGATATGTATCAGTAGATTGTATTTGAAATCTGTTTTTATCTAGTTTCCCTTTTGCATTTTGTTTAGTATTCATGTTTGTAGAGTTTCTGAAGTTAATTTTGTTATTTATTTCTAGTTTATTCCTTTTTAGTAAGAAAAGATATGAGTTCAATTTTTAAAGAAATTTATTGAGATTTTTTTCATGCTCTAATATGTGGTCCATTCTAGAGAATGTTCCATGTACTGATGAAAAGAATGTATACTCTGTAGCTGTTCAATAAAGTGTTGTGTAACAGTCCATATTATTTATAGTTTAGTTTAACTCTGATATTTCTTTGTTGATTTTCTTTTTTCTTTTTCTTTTTTTTTTTTTTTTGGTACTAGACATTGAACCCAAAGGTGCTTCACAACTGAGCCCTATTCTATAGTCCTTTTTTGATATTTTATTTTGAAACAGAGTCACTAAGTTGCAGAGGACCTTGCTAAGTTGCTGAGTCTGGTCTCTTGTGATCCTCCTACCTCAGCCTCCTGAGATGCTGGGCTTACAGGTGCATGTCACTGTGCCTGGCTCTTTATTGATATTTTTGTCTGGATGATCTGTCTATTGATGAAAGTGGGGTGTTGGACAATATGATTGAGGCTTTCATATATATTTGAAAAATATATACATATATTTTATCATAATATATTATAAATAATATGTATTATTTTATGTTATTTAAAATATTCTTTTAATTTTGAGAGTGTCTTGCTAAATTGACAAAACTGGCCTCCAACTTGTGATCCTCCTGCCTCAGACTCTCAAGTCACTGAAATTATAGGCCACTGTACCAAGATCAACTATATTTTTTATTTATATATAACAGCGAAATGCATTGCAATTCTTATTACACATATAGAGCACAATTTTTCATATCTCCGTTTGTATACAAAGTATATTCACACCAATTTGTGTCTTCACACATGTACTTTGGATAATAATGATCACCAATTAGTGCTGGTCTTCAATGAAAGAACTTGTACATTTTTAGCTAACTTGTCAGTGACTTCCCTCAGCCTAACTGGAAGCTACTTGGCCAGTAAAACATATGGTTTGTAAAGTCCCAGTTCCATTAATATAAAACAGTATAAAATGGTGGTTTTAGAGAGAAGAGAAACTTCATTTAACAGTGAGTCAAGGATAGGCTCTTAAGTATGC